ATTGGAAATTGGAAGTAATATTGGAATTGGAAGATTGGAAGTCCAATATGCTTCCAATCTTCCACTGAACATCACTGGCTATAGGTATTCTCTTAATTTGATATTATAATATCATTCTGCGACTTAACCCAAGTTGCATGTAACTTTCATAATATAATTATATTATGAAAGTCACATGTGACTTATAAATTAATTAATTAAAATAATAATAAATTTAAAAAGAATATAAAAAATTAAAAATGTATATTTTGTTTTTTACTAATATTATAATAATTAATATAAATTAATATCCTGATTTATATTTATAAAAAAACATTATTTATATTTATTATAATTATGTTTTTTTAAAAAAAAAATTTATATTTTTAACTTTTCTTTATAAGTAATTTTAAAAGTCTTAATTTTTAAGGATTATATAATAATATATTTTAATTTATCTTTTATTAAGATATAAATAATAATATCAGATTTATTATCTTTACTAATTTATTTATTTCTTTTAATAAGTTTACTAAATTATACTTTTTAAAAATAAACAAAATAAAAAGTAGAAAATAAAAATAATATTATAACTTATTTGAAAAATCTGTAACTAGTTACAACTCAAATTACAACCTAAAAATTGCAACTAATTGTAAATTTTTTTATTATAATATTTATATTTAAGATTTTGCAATTAGTTATTATCTAATAGTTGTAGATCAATCTTTAAATTTGTAAATTTGTAGTTTAAAAAAAATTACAAACTTTTTCAAATCTTTAAAATAATTTTTTCTAAATTTAAATCAAATTAAACTTTATTAAGTTTAGGAAAATTAGATTAAAAGTTTAGAAAAAAATAATTATTATAAACAAGTTTAATTTTAAATATCTTGAATCTCAAAATTTTAAAAATAGTTTAAAAAGGTAATTTTATTTTAATTATATCAAATAACTCATATTATTACTTTAGATAATAATTATATTTTTTAATATATTATAAATTAAAATAAAAATAAAATAAATTAAAAATTTTTTAAAAGATAAAATATTTACAAATTAAATATTAAATATTTAATTTATTTATTCTTTTTATTTTTTTTATTATTTTTATTTTTATAATATTTTTATTCTTTTAAATTAAAAAAGATAATAATTTTAAAGTATAGATATAGATAATTTAATAAATATTTTTATTTTTTTGTTAATTTTTAATAGTTTATATATATATAATTATCCTTATATATTTATTAATATTTATTACAATAATATAATAACTTAATTTAACTTTAATATAAATTTTAAATTTATTAAATTTAATATAAATATATTAAAAGTTAAAATAATTTATCTATGTATTTAAATTAGCATTATATATTTTAATTGATTTTAATATTTAATTTAATATTTATATAAGAGATAATTAATAAAAATGATAAAAGAAAAAAATCTTATTAAGTTAAGTTTATACAAATAATTGAGATCAGTTAAAGTAGTCTAATAAAAAAAATTTGATAAAAATTTATATTTGTTTCTTTTTTATTGACCATTTTTTTATATATTATTTATAACTTTTATCATGAAATATAATTAAAATTTTATAATTAAATATGAAATTTTGATTAGTAATTATATAATATTACTTTTTTTATATTTGTTTTTATATTTTTAATATAATTATTATTTGTCACCTCTTATTATATATTTTTATAGATAAAGATTTACTTACTGTAAATTATATTTTAATGATTCAATTAATAGGTAGTTATAATTAATTTAAATTATAAATAATTTTAAATTAGTTTTAATTTATAATAGTAAAATTACATTAGTTTTATTAGAAAAAAAAACATTATTACAAGTATATTAAATAATAAATTATATTTATATTTTATATTTTGAATCAATTTTAAATTATAAACTAATTTTTTTTAATGTAAATTAAAATGGAATCAAAATTTATCAGAATCTTGCTTAAAATTAAATTAAATAATCAATTAAGAAGTTACTAGTGTTAATTTAGATTGATATGTAGAATGTTGATATGATTCATTTTAAGATTGTTGTATTAATTAATATAATTTTAGTATATTATTTGGATTTACTAAATTTAATACATGGGAAGATCTGTCTTTTTTTCTTTTTGTCAGTGTAAATAAAGACATGCATTCAATGCCTTTGAATCTGTACTATTTATCATTTTGTATTAGAACATTGAAGTTACTAATTTTGATCAACGCGGGCGTGACATCATACATCACGAAACGTCATCGAGATCAAAATAGAAAATTAAACCGGAAAATTTTCGGATCCAAATGTCCTATATAGAGGAAGAAAAATAGATTGAAACTTGGTACAAAATTTTTGATCTTTTGTTAAAGTATGCCTCACACAAGAAGAATCACGATCACATTTCTTAACTGGTTGCTAAAGATGTTTATAGAACCCCTGAAAAAATTTTTTGTGGCGTTATTGCATATACTTAATTAGTTAACACGTGCTATATGTCAAATTATACAACGTAATGGAACTTTTTTTAATATAATGTATATATAAAAAAAATGTTCCATTTTTAAAAAAGAATTTCTTTATTTATAAATTTCATTTAGAATTTATTAATTTCAACTCATTACCAAAAATATTTACTGTTCATTCATCATGAACAAATAAAATTGTTGATACACTGCCACCGGCAAATGCAGAGATGCAGTGTGACGCACAACATTACACATGATTAACAAAATGTTTTGCTTTTTGTGGCTTCATGCGAATTTTTTATATAAATATATAAATATACCAAAGTAAATTAAAATAAATGTATTAAAAATTTCGTCTTTCAAAATCAAAATTTATTTCACAATTACCTTCATCACGAACGATAATAGCTTTTTTTTTTTTCTTTAGCCTTTCCTTTTTTTTTTAAAGCTGTATCCTGTTAATTATCTGTTGCGACCCCTTTTGTTTCGCTATTTCTTATGTATACAATTTTTTTTCTTACAAGGACAAGTTAAAAGAAAGCGATAACAAGAATTGAAACATGGATGATGTCAACTTATTAGAATTTGTTCCCGTCATCAGGCAAATACTTAATGGTGCAGATCTTGATATAATTTCCGCTAGGGATGTACGACGGGAGCTGGAAAAAAAGTATGATTTAGATCTTACACCACGCAAACAAGAAGTACAACGTCTCGTTGAGCAGTGTTTTGATGATTTAAGTAATTCGGATGAATTAGATTATGAACCAGTAGAATCCAAATCGCCTAAAAAACAAAAGAAACATAGCAATAATTCTGAAGAAAAGACGAAAAAATCATCTGACAAACCTTCAAGGAAAATTGTTAAACCCAAAGGTAGGCCTTCTAAACCGCAAGTTAAAACCCAAGAATCCGATTATTATTCGTCCCTGGAGGACGATTTCCCACCACAAAAAAAGAGGCGTGGTCGAAAACCAAAAGCTCCTTCAAAAGTAGAATCATCTGATGCTGAATATGAAAAGAGATTTGAGGAGGAATTGAATGGAACGAATATGAAAAAATCAAAAGCAAAAAGTAATGGGTCTACCACTAAAAAGAAATCGATTAAACGAAAAAAGAGGGATGAGGAAGAACAGGACGGTGAAGAACCAAAGAAAAGAAAAAAAGGCAATACCGGAATCCATAAGCCTTTGATATTAAGTCAGGTTTTGGCAGAATTTTTACAAGCTGAGGAGGTAATTAATACAAATTTTTTTTTTTAAAAAAAAGAAAATAAGAACAAAATGACCCATTCAAATGTTTATCTTAGATGTCACGACTTGAAGTAGTTAAACGTCTTTGGGCATATATAAAAGAAAATGCGCTCCAGGATCCCAGTGATAAGCGATTTATCGTTTGTGATGAAAGATTAATGACCATATTTAATCAGGATAGAATCCATAGCTTTACAATGAATAAATTTTTGACAGTTCACCTAAAAAAGAAAGAAATATCATCTGATGGAAGTGTTAAAAATGCCAATGGAACATCTAACAATTATCGTAAAAATGAAACTTCGAGTAGTGTATATAATGATGATGATGATGATTATCAAGTTAAAATAGAACCCCAGGATTATGTTAAAGTTAAAATGGAACACAAGGAGGATTATGTTAAGGTCAAAACGGAACACAAGGAGGATAATGTTAAGGTCAAAACGGAACACAGGAAGGATTATGTTAAGGTCAAAACGGAACCCAGGGAGGATAATGTTAAGGTTAAAATGGAACCTCAGGAGTATGATGTTAAGGTTAAAATGGAACCTCAGAAGAATTGGGATAACGATGACGATGACGATTCTGATTGGTAAAGTCTGAATTGCAATAATTACCATTGTTGAGTTTTAGATGTTCTGCCCCTATTTCAAATTTTTGGAAACAAGCAATATCACATTCAAATTGCCTTTATATTAGACATAAGAAAAAAATTTTATTATGTTATAATATACACAAGAATTCAAGTAAGTCTTAACGACTGGATAAACATTTATATATTTTTTTCCGTGTATATTATACACGAAATCTACTAGAAAGTCTTTCCTTTTGCCGGATTTCCATATATCCTATCTTTATTTTCATGTATTATATTTTACTACTAGTATTCACTCTTTAATAGTTTTTTTTTCTATAAAAAAAAAAAGAAAAAAAAAAGTATCAATGTATAACTAATATAACTAATCTTGCTTTATATACATATCAAAGGTATGTTGGTGTTGAATATGGGATCATTTTAAGTAATTATCCTTGGCATTATTATATTATTCCCAACTGATATATAGAATAAATGTTTTTAAAAGAATAATATTTGTCAGGAACTTAACATTTTAGTAATTATCTTTTAACGGATGGAAAGTTCTTTTTATTCGAAACATATTTTTTAACATCGTCCTTTAGAGAGACTTGAATATGAACAGCAGAATTTTGTCTGGTCTGAGATTCAAGATCTTTATCCTTATAATAAAAAAATGCATTATAACGAAGGAACTCGGGAGGTTTTTTTAATGATTGTCACTTACATCATCATCCGGTATAATATCATCAACAATTTGCACTGTGCTAGTTGTAGTTTTATAAGTTATTTGATTATGAGTTATATCATTTAAAGTTAAAACTAAATTAATTGACTTTTGTATAGCTGCTCCTAATCCATGGATTGTTATTGAAGGATGACTATTTAATGTAAATATGTAAATAAACCAAATCTAATCAAATAAATAAATAAAATTATAAATATTACCCATCTGTCATTAGAAGTTTTTTGGCTCTAAATAATTGTCCATTAAAATTTGATCTAGTAGAAACATAAATATCTGTTGTTATGGTTGCGGGGCGTTGTGGTCTTCTTTTTCGAACATCTTTTTTTTCAAAAAAATAAATATTTGATATTTTGAAATAGAAAGGAGAATTGGTCTATAATGTTCACCTTTTCGCTGTAAAGGTTCCGATGGTTTTTTAGGTTCTATTTTTGTGTAAATTTTTTTTGTAGGATTATTATCCACTTTTGATAAGGAAATATCAGGTGATTGTTCTTTGGGTGTCTCGATTTTATCATCCTTTTTTTTATTTTTTTTATAAGGTTTGGTAGGTAATGACATAAAACTTTTTTTTTTCGCTCTACCCATAACCATAAAAAAAAAAAAAAATTTGAGATTATACTAAAAAAAAATTCCTGCTCTATTTATAAACTACGTCGTTACACGAGTTTAATTTACGTAATCACACATTTGCACGTGATTAAACTATATTGAGGAAAAAAACGCGTATAAAATTATAAAAATCGATTGCTTTCTTTTTTCTTTCCAATAAAACTTTTATTACTACTTTTATTATATTTTCTAATTTAATAACTAATAATCATGGTAAAATTATAAAATTCGTTATTTTCAAGTATTTCTTATTTAATATTTAAAAAAAGAATAAGAATAATAATTATGATAAAACTCTTATCTAGTCGAAGAAAGGGTTATCAGTGGCAGAAAAACGCATAAGGCTTGAAGCTTTATTTCACGAAACGGTACGCCTTCTTTTCAAACTTTTTTCATATCAACTCCCATTAACATCATCGTTATCAATGTCATTAATCATAATCTTTTTTTTAAAAAAAATAAAAAAACAAATCATTCTTCATATATAGAAAAACTTTTACCAACTCAAGGAGTTAGAAAAAATCGCTCCAAAGATGAAAGGGATCGGTAAAATATCTCATCAAGTTGTTTCACATCTAAATCATCCGATTTCGTGACTAATCGTGAATTCCTTTTTAAAGTTTCGCAATCAGTTAAAGACATTCTTCAAAGTTTAGTAGATGACGATCTTGTAACGACAGATAAAATTGGTACATCAAATTATTATTGGTCTTTTCCAAGTTGTGCTCTTCAATCGGTAGGATTGATTTTAATTTTGTTTGCTTCGTACAATGTCATTCCTTACTTACATCCGAAATTATATTTTAGCGCAAAGTTAAGATTGAAGGACTTACTCAGGAACTACAAAAATTTAAAGAAAAAAGTGTTGAATTACAATCAAGTATTGAGTTAGCATCTGATGGACGCGAAAACACTGTAATATTACTAAAGATTATTCGTTACTTTATTAATTCATTTTTCTATGCCTGTTTCAATTATTTTTTAAATTATTTTTTCAAGGATGATCGAGCTATACTGTTGAAAAAGGTAGCAGAAGTGGAAATGATTACCAAAAAATATCAGGAAGAATTGGCACATTATCGAGAATGTGATCCTGCACTTTTAGATGCTAAGGGTATTTCAAGTATATGTTGGAATTTTTATTTATTTAATATTATCTTAATGTTCAAATTTTTCATATAGAAAAGCACGCCGAGCTTGCATTGGAATGCGGTAATCGTTGGACAGGTATATAGATTATTTTTTTTTATTTTTTATTGTTTTTTTTAAAAAAAAAAAAATGGAATGGTATACTAAAAATTTCTATTTTTATCATAGAAAACATCTTTATACTCCAATCCTATTGTGCAAATAAGTTCAATATTGAACGTACCGATTTCAACCAACAATTTGGAATCCCGGAGGATTTCGATACATTGTAATGACATTATTTCGGGTCTAAATATTGAATATCGAAAATAACAAGCATTGTTACTTGTAGTAATCTGGTATATATAACCTTTGTAAATTTAAATATAATCATGATGATTACTTCTAAAATTTAATATAATGAAAATTTCCAAATTATATATCTCTCTCTACTTTAATGCTCCTCAAACTCTTCTTCCATCAAAACATTTTCTTCATCTCTTGGCAAATTATTGTAACCTCTTCCTCCAGATCTTCTTGGTTGAAACATGGGACACTGTGCCACTATTATAAAAAAAATATCCTACGTAATGGATATTCATATTAATAAATAATAAATAAATCACGATAGAATAATATGATCCCTTGCTTTTACCTTGAGGAATTCCCACGTGTTACACCAAAATTCCCAATTTGGGATTTGTCGCATTCCAGAAGCATTATGAACCATTCGGTTATAAACAATACCTCCAACAAAGTACACGAGTAATGCAATGACGAAACTTTTTTTTTTCAAGAAAAAAAAAAAGAAAAAAAAAATTTATCATCAAATATTAACGATATAACAAAAAAAAATTCAATCAAGTTATACCAACATTGTTAAGAAGACATTCCATCCTCCCAATCCTTCACCTTTTTTCACGGTTGAACAAGCGGCAGGAGTTCTCCATTCAAAAAAGAATGCACAATCCTTAAAGGTTGAAACAAATATTGGTAGTCCCTATATATATAAATAAATAAAAATATCATGTTTTATAATAAGAATGAACAAGGAAATGAGTGTAAAAATGTTAATCATTAAACATTAAATTCTTACTTGACCCTCAACGGTTTTATCACAAATAAAGGAAATAACTGACGATTTTCTATAATTCGTGGTACCACATTTGTCATTACCATCATTAAATTCCATTAAAAGTTTATCCCCTAAAAAGAATGATAAAATTACACTTAATTAACTTGAATAATTAGTAAATTTTTGACAATTCAACTATTATTTACCTCGGACGATAGGAGTAGTAGAGGTTTTACTTCATTAATGAAATTAAATTAGTTAAATTTATAAAAATCTAAATATGAAATTGTCAAAACTAAATTTAAATTACCCCAAACTACTTCCTTCATCGTTCTTTGAACCATAAACACCAGTATTATCAAGAGCTGTATTCGGATCACCCTTATATAAAATATCATTACAAATATTGATGTGAAATTTCCAATGTGTTCCGTATCCTTGGACAATCCAATCATCTCTTTAATGATTAAAAGAAGGGAGATAAATATGGATAAAACTTTCAAAAACCACGATTATACTTTGAGGAAAGTTTACCCATCAGTTTTTTTCAAAGGACTTAAATCAAAATAGTTTGTACCGTTAGTAACAGTACATGGCTGTTGTTGTTCTTCAGCTTTTACAAAAAGACTTGAAGAATAACTGCTAGATAAAATGGTTAAACACAAAACCACCAAAGTGGTAAGGTGAATAAAACGTAAAAACGTTGTCTTACGAGGACTACTCGATAAATAAAGCACCATATTTGATTTATTCTATTCTTTGAAGTTTATAAAATACTGGCTTAAAGAACAAAAAAATGTTATCGGAACGAAGTGATCGTTTCGAAGAGGAGGCTTAAAATTCATGTGGTTCAATTGTGATCGACTAGAACAATGTTCACATATACATAATCATTATACTCCGACACCCAGACACGAATTTTGGTAAATATATCTGTTGATCTTCAAACCATGATTTTTTTATTTTTTTTTGCGATATTCTTTTTCAATAAGGATCAATAATACAGTACATTTTCTGAGCCATTTATAGGAAAAAAATTTATGTTTTTAAGATTTATCATTTTTTTTCTCGTGTTTATATCTAAGTTCTGAAAACAAATTTGTTCTTGTAATATAATTTTTTTTAGAACCCATTGTGTGTACGATAATTTTAATTATTTTTTTAATTCTATTATTTAAATAAATACAACTGCCAAAAATATTAAAATTCCTCTTGATAGTGCAAATAACGTGTAATTTATCGTGTTTAACCTTTTCTTGGCAAAAAAATTTCATAAATCATATATAACAAACATTCCATAATTTTTTCATTAGATGGCTTGTCCACGTGACTTGTAAAATTCGAAGAAAGCGTATTCTTTCGTTTGATAAATATTAAATGATTATCTAATAATACAAATGGATATTCATTAAATATCATTATTTTTGGAAATCAAACTATCGTCATAATAAAAAAATTTATTTATTAGTGTCGTTTCGTTTTTATAATTAATCGTTCTTTTAAAACACAAGTTGTGTGTTGTCACTACTCCTAATATAGTAGCGATATATTCGATATATTGTTATAGTTTTCAGTAAACTTAATAATTTTGCGTGTACAACGATCAACTTTGAAACAACCTTCTTTAATGAAATGGCAATAGGAGATACTCTACAACCAATAATTCATAACATTGCCGAGAGAAGGAATTTTACTCCAAACTATACTGCAACAGACTATGATTTTCATACAGGGATACCACTTATTATTGATAACGGTGGGTATTTTTTTTTTTTTGGTTTTCATTATCACAACTTAAAGTTTTATTTATCCAAAGGTTGAGTTTATTATTAATGATAGCTTGCAAGTTTAAGAAAAGATAAATAAAATAAAATAAAAAGAATGTTGTATGTTGTATGTTGTGAAAGAAAGGGCATGACCGCTGGTACCAAGATAACTCAACTTTCAAGAGCTATATTAAAAAGGTTTTGTTTTCTAACCAAAAAAAATATTTTAAAATACAATTATTTTAGGATCATATCAATGTCGTGTAGGGTGGGCGAACGAAGATTCTCCAAGATGTAAGTAGTTTCTGTTTGATACATCTTATTTAAAATATTGTTATTAATTCTTAACTTTCTTCTTCGACTTTAGTACAATTTGATAGTATGGTATCAAAATATAGGGATCGAAAAATCAATCAAAGTATCTTGTTGGTGGGCAATGACATTTATACGGATGCTACAGCGAAATCAAATGCGAAGACGGCATTTGACGGAAATGTGGTATATAACTTTGAAACCATGGTAAGATTCGAGATGTTATTAGGAAAAAAAAATTTTTTTTTTCTTTTTTTAACGTCTGCTTTCATCCATTAATTGTTTAGGAATATATTTTGGATTATGTCTTTTATAAACTTGGCATTAATACTGACAAGGTATATCATCCGATATTGATGACCGAACCTGTTTGTAATCCAAATCATTCAAGAAAACGTAAGCCAAATATAACAATTTTGCATTTAATTTTTCAATACTACTCATTAATTAATTATTAAAGAGAGAACATCATTTTTTTTCAGTGATGTCGGAGTTACTGTTTGAGTGTTACGGAGTTCCGTCTGTATGCTATGGCATAGACGCACTTTTTAGTTTTCATGCAAATAATCTTTCGTTTGATGAAGGTGGAATCGTCGTTTCTTCAGGTCATACCACAACTCATGTTATACCTGTGTTCGGAGGTCGGGGCACGTTAGAACATACTAAAAGGTATTACCCTGATTTACGTAAATCAAATAATTATGTTTTAGCTTGATGTTTTTGCTTGTTCTTTTTTGTAAATAATAATAATAATAATTAATTAATTAATTAATTATTCGTAATATATAAATAGGATATCATATGGTGGATTAACAGCTACTGATTACATGCTTAAATTGATGCAACTTAAGTATCCCACATTTCCAACAAAAATGACCATCAATCAAGCACAAGTTAGTATCACTCCAATCTAATGGATTTTTGGGTGTTCAAATTTGTCCCGCATAGTACTTTTAATCACTAGACTTATATTAAAATAGCTCTAACGAAAGATTTGGCTCTTATGTTTGGTACCGTTAAAATAGCACCTTGTGCATAACTTTACCTATGTGGCGCAAGATTATTTTAAAGAATTAAAAGAATATTCCAATCCAGTCACTTTTGCTGATAAAGACCGTATAATTCAATTCCCCTACGTACCACCGGTAAATAAGGCTCAGTCAACATGATCCTGATAATTTTTCTATATTATTTATTGATTATAATTTAAATTGATCATTATTTTTGTGTTGTAGGCTAATGAGAAGACGGAAGAAGAATTAGCTAGACAAGAGGAGAGAAGACAAGAGCAGGCGCGTCGTCTAAAGGAACAAGCAGCTAAACAACGTATTCAAAAGGTAAATTTCATGTTATATTTGATCTGCTTAAGTAATTTTTATTATGGATAATATTACATTAATTATCTTGTATTTTAGTTGAAAGATCTCGAAAACACTTTGGAATCTTACGTTCAACTTAAAGAAAGCAGGTTATCAATGAGGAGGTCGGAATGGATGGTAGGTATTTTATTTTAAAAAAAAAAATTAGTTTAAACATAAAAATTTTGTATCAATTTATTCTATTTTAATTTTTTTTTAAGACAAAATTAAAGGATAGTAGAGTAGGCGATGAAGCAGAGTTAGATGAGATTATTCAAAAAAACGAAAAATCCGTTCAACGTGCGAGAAACAAATTGTTGGGTATTGATGAAGTTGAAATCAGGGTAAACTGATATCTAGTATTGAATAATTTTAACTTTATATAATGTATATTTTTTTTAAATTTCTTTATAATATGAATGTTAGGAAGAGCCTACTTTTCCACTAGTTGATATTCCAGATGATCAATTGAATGATGCTGAGAAAAAAGAAAAAAAGAAACAGGTCGCAGCCAAAAGTCTTTACGAAACGCGTCAAAGACAAAAAGAAGCTAAAGAATTGGCCAAGCGGCAACAAGTAAGCTTCAGTCATATCTTGAAATAAGATGCTATATTCTTGTTCTATGTTTAATACCTATCTTCTAATTAGGAAGAGGAAGAGCGCGCAGAGGAACAGAGAAGAACTAATGATTTTGAAGGTTGGTTAAATGAACTAAAGAGTAGTTATGAGGTAAATGAGACAAACTAGGTTTTTGTATTGATTGATTGACAAGTAATTTAGAGTATTAATTCAATCAATTCAATTTCAATTCCTTGCTAGAGCCAATTAGACAAAGTAAAAGGCTTGAAAAGAAAAAAAGAGCAACTCTTGGATCGTAGGAGTCATGCTTCACAACTGCGAATGAAATCAATAGCTAACTTGGCAAGTGATGCACCGCAGCAGAAAAGACGAAGACGAGGACAAGATGGTAATATTTGATTAACCTTATACAGTCAAAGCTCGTTATAGTGAATCTCGTTATAGTAAAATCACGTTATAGTGAATTATTTTTAATTCACCAAATCAATTTTTTATAATAAATTTCTCTCGATATAGTGAACTCTTAATAAAATCTCATTATAGTGAACAAAAATGATTAGAACCAAGAGTTCACTATAAAGAGCTTTGACTGTAATCTTTTTCATTGTGATTGACATAACGTTTATTCTAATCACTCTACGTAATATTAGAGGACACTTTTGGAATGGATGATAATGATTGGTCTATTTATAAGGAAATTGTAAGTTTCTGTTTTAATTTTCGGTTTAAATTCATTGATATAACTAAATGCTGAAAAATAAGATAAAATAAAATAAAAAACACATAATAGAGCAAAGAGGAAGATGCATGGGAAGAAGAGGAGGAATTAACGCAACTAAGAGAGTATGAAGGCAAACTCCTTCAATATGATCCTGCGTTTTTACCGGAGCATACATTTGATGCAAAAAATTCACAGCAAAATTCCCTTGTTTATATGTTGACACGAGGAATTTCACCTCCATATGATCCAGAAAATTTTGGACAAATGCATCAGTTACATGTTAATATTGAGAGGATAAGAGTACCCGAGGCATTGTTTCAACCTAGTATCGTTGGATTAGATCAGGCCGGTGTGGTTGAAACCATTGGAGATATTGTTAACAGATTTGACGCTGATGACCGCCGACAGATGGTTAAGGTTAGAAAGTAGCAAAAAGATTTCTTTTTGTTAATACTAATTTCTTTAATACTAATAATGTCCTTATTTATCACAATATTATGTTAGTCTGTATTCATTACAGGTGGCCATACGCAAACACCGGGACTTTTACCTCGATTAGAGGTTTCACTTAAATCTATATTGCCATCAGACTCAGCTTTAAGAATAATTCATGCTAAAGATCCAGTACTTGATTCATGGCGTGGTGCTGCATTATGGGCTAAAACAGAGGATTTTCATAAATATGCAGTAACCCGTCAAGAATATCAAGAATGTGGTGGAGATTATCTAAAAGAACATAGGTTTGGTAACGTGTATAGAACGTAATTTATATTCAATAGATTTAAAAAGAAAAAAAGAAATTTTGAATCTGTTTGTTTTCGTAATATGATTTATTTTCAACAATAAAAGTTAATTAGGATTCCTAAGTTTAATTAAAAGAAATTTTCAATTATTTTTGTAATACTATTATATATTAATCTACTATAAATGGAACTCTAGCTTTATGTATTAAAGGTCAGTCTTTTATACAAATTTTAAAGATTCACATGAATATTGGAACTTTTTCTCCTCTCCTATTAGCATCACTTTTTATTTTTCTTTCTACTGTTTACTTTCTTTTTTTGATCATCATAATCATCACTATTCTCAGCAGCTTCTCTTTGTTGTTTTTCTAATTCCAAACTTTCTTTTCTAGCTATAATAATAGTTTTGGGTTTTTTAGAAAAGATTTCATCATTATCATTTTTGCTTTTTCCCTGTTGATAACCTAAGGTTCTCCTATGTTCATAACCAGGATATTGATTTGGAATAAAATCAATAGATTCTTTTATAGCCAAATGACCTGTAGATTTAGCTAATTGCTTAACATTCCATTGATTATATGGTTCAACCGTTTTCATCGTTACGTGTATTTCACCGTCATTCATGTCCGAGTAAAGTGATTTTGATGATAAAAATGGTATTGCCGAATTAAAAAATGCTTTTAATAATTTTTGATTCGATAAAATATTTCTATCTTGATCTTTAATTCCCAATCCTATTTATTTATTTTTAAAAAAAAAAAAATTAGAAATCGATTGAAATATTTCAAAAAAAAAAAACAAATATGAAATAATAAAAAAGTATTTTAAATTACCTGCATGAGGAAAATTAAATATAATTTTATCAAATCTTTTACCTTTTAATAATTTACATTTTTCCAATTGAGTGGCATCAACTTCATAAATTACTTTCCCACCAAACTCAATAAAAGATTGTATATGTTGTTTTGCATCATCATATTTTTTATTTAAAATTTCCTCCGAATCCAAACATGTTGCTATGATAAAATGACTTGTATAAAGAATATTTGTTGCCAATGAATTCGCAAAACTAAAATTACCTATATATATTTAATCAATTAAATTCTTTTTGGAAAAAAAAAGGGGGAAGGAAAAAAGTTCATAAATCATACCTTCTCCTACTAACAATATTTTATCCTCGGGTTTATAAAGTGGTGGAGGCAATGGTTTAACAAAAGTTGATTTGTGCTTAATTTTCGATTTTGAGTACGGATGTGAAGGTAAAGAATTTATTTTACCCCTATATTGTTTCTCTTGTTGAAGTTTTATCAATGAAGCTTTTAATTTAGGTTTAACCTTTGGCATAACTACAGGATTGATCGTCAAAGGTTTTTTTCTTTTAAGCTAATACTACTTTTTTTCACAATTAACAGTAATTGTGAAAAAAAGTAGTAATAAGTCATGCTATTGGATGATTAGCAATCATTCTTTTAGTGGGTCTGCAATCGATCGTTGTTACACATTCATAATCACGTGGAAGTAATTTGTTCATTTAATATCTGATCAAATAATATTACTGTATATTTATTTAGTATGATATTAGCTATGGTTTGTTACGTTGGACTTTAATCTATCCGATAAAATTTTCAATGTTGCGAACTTTTGATTTCCATTATAGTTTTGTCAATTTTAACCTTAAGTTCGGGACTAATATTATCATATGTACGTGGTAGAGCTGGCCATTCTTTTGCAATGCGCTTCCTAATGGTATCAAAGTCTTCCCATTCACACACTTTACCATGATCATAAACAACTTTTAATAAATTGTCTGGATCATTTTCTGGAAAACTTTCTTTAGGATGAACGATTGGAACCTAAATAAAATATCACGTGTTAAATTATTCAAATTATATAAACATAATTTTTTTTCAATATGAATATAAAAAGTACTAACTCCTTGCTCATTCTTTTTAACGACGAATTCGCCCGGCAAACTAATTTTTTCAGAGTCGGCTTTCGGTGTTTTCATAATGTCCCTGATAATTTAAAGAATATTATAAATACGAAAAACGTAAAATTATTCAAATTTTTTGTCATAACAATACCTCTTATGTCCATCAGCGTAGGTAATATGACAAAGTTTGGTGGCAAAACTCATGGTATCACGATTAAGTTTTTGTAATAATCCACCTCCCATTCCAAACGAAACGTTCAGAGCGGCATAACCAGCTTTTACCGTTGCATCCAGAATAGCCTTCATACTTTGAATAGTCACAGCATCACCTTGGATGACACCAGCTCCACGTAATATTTTATATCCTTTGCTATTAACGTCACTACCAAATACTTTATCTGCGGCCCTATTAATAAAATCATATAAGAATTAATGACTTTATCAATATCTTTCCTATAATTATATTTACCTTAAACCCCTTAATACATTCTCGACTGGATCACCGCTATCAGGTCTTAACACCATAAATCCACCTTTTTCAACTTTTTGTTTAGCAATTGACGGAAGGATTTTTTCCAAAGCATTAACATAATCAAAAGAATCCATCACGCATGCAAAAACTCCAGAACCAAAACTTTTAATTTCTTGTAACATCGCGTCCTTTTCGTTTAAAAATTTTTTTTTTGTATAAAATGTCGTAAGAGATTGATTATAACTAGAAACATATTAAATAAAAATATTTGAATTACAGCATACTCTTTCTGTTTTGTGTGCTATCATGACCGAGTGTTCGGTTGCTGGGATTGAAGTCGCAACAGGGTTGCCGTTATTCAGAACGAACTGAGCATAATAAGCAGCACTCATGGTATCTGTTCCACAGAAATTCAACTATATAAGGACAATTCATTAACTATTATAATAGGAAAGAAGAAACATTATATATATCTTTTTTTCGTATACAAACCAAATGAGCTACACCACCAATAACCGATTGCTCGATACAAGTACAACCTCGAAACCCAAAATCATGTAGTCGACTAAATCATAAATATTTAATGACTTTAAATAATACGCCAATTTTAGATAATAATAAAATTTCGACATAATATGCACCCTTCCGCTGGCAAATTTCCAGCATCATCGACCGTTTTTTGATAAGCATCATCGACGAGATCACGTGCACGACGCGAGAGTGTTGCAACTGTTGTTGGATACTTAACAAGAAGTTGTATAGACCAATATTAAATTCTTAGTCCATTTTTTTTTAGGTAATATAGATAGTAAAATAAAAATTACCCAAATCATAGTAATTAAAGTTTCTAAATATGTAACTAATGGCGCGTAAACGTTCTCTGCCGTGATTTGGTAAACCGGAGTATGCACATGACACGAGGTACCTTCTGGTAAAGCTTCAATTCTTATCGGAAAATATCCATCGTTCTCTTCGATGAACTAAGATATTTTTTAAAATAATTATCAGATTATGATTCAAAATATAATGTTAACAAGTTATATAATTTTACCTTTATAAACAAATCTTTTGGAAACGGAAAAGATGTAAATCCTGCATTATGAGTTGCAAAAAACTTTTCAGATAACTCAACATCTTTTTTGGTCCATTTGATAGCAATATAATTTTCAATTCTTTATTTTTTGATGTTCAAATTAGAAATTAGATCAAACTCATATGATAATATACAAAATAACAAAATTACATGTATCGGATCCCAAAGAATAAAAAACGTGTATCTTCTTTATCACCATTATATCCTTTCCTAAACTCGCCATATGCAATACACTAAAGAGAATTTTATTTATTTTTGACTTCGCATATTTCTTTACTACAAATATTTCTTTAATAGTAGAAAAAAATTATTAAAAACCTTTTTAGCTTCAGGTAACATAAACGAGTGAGTTGGTTTATACGAATCAGTCATAACCAAAAGTGGAATACCAAGAAAGCCAGACATTGTGGAAAGTATTTGTGAAAATTTCTAACGGTTGAGCCTCTATTATCTGTCAATTTATAACGATTTGTGGGAATAATATAAAAAAGGTTTGGTAAATTACCCAAATTATCGTTTAATTCCTTATCAATGTTCACATATTATCCCATTTAGTTTAGCGGCTTTTTGCATATCGGATAGAAATTTCCGGGTCAGTGATCGATCTAGATTCATTTTTTTTTATCTATTAAGCTTTTACGCAGTACCGCATCGTTACATAAAAATTTTTGTGAATAAAAAAATTTCCGAGCGAAGAAGCGTAGCAGTGACTTTTTAAATTTGTATTTTTTCTGCTTTTCTATTAAATAATTTTTATTTCTATTTCATTTTTTTTGCTTTCCAACTAAAAAAAAATGTAAGATAGTGTGTCAATAATAATTATTTCACTTGCAATAGAACGCTCTTTTTTATTGCTATATATTAAAAAAAATTTTTATAGTACATAGCAATTGAATATCGGTGTGGCATTTTGACAGATCGTTTGCGACGATGAATTTCGGATGCTTTATTAATAAAATATTTTTTTTAATAGATAATAATATATTTCATTTTATTTATTTTTTTTTATGGATCTATAAAGACCGAATTTTTTTATTGTTATTTTTGAACTAAGAATAGAGTAAAATGAAAAAAAAACAGGAATTAATGAAAACGGAGAAAAGAATTTTTTTTTAATAAAAAAAAAAACCTAAATTTTTTTTACATCTAAAAATAATATATTAATTTTTTTGCAATCATTACTGATATTCAATTTAGAAATTGATCCCTGTTATGATACACTTCTATTAATATTAATCGTTTAATCAACGAAATATTCCAACCAAATCAGATCACTGGTATTGTAATATTTTATTTAATTATGATAATATAAGGTTTAAAAGAACTTTAGAATGAAACAGTCCACTTTTTGAATAATAGTTAATAGAATTAAAAATTTTAAAGATATTTCTTGTGAAAAAAACAACTTGCAATAGTCTTATATAGATTAGGTAAAAAATAATACTTTAGAATATTTGTTTTAAATTTGAAATAGCAGAGGTAGTGTAATAAACTAAAAAGTTATCTTATAGATCACATGATTTTTACCTTGTCACAAAATCCATCCAATCAGCTAA